TCGGAACCTGAAATCAAACCTCCAATCTGGAACTGATTGCCTGGAACTTTTGCCTGGTTGCTTACTTAACATTGCTCTCGAGTACTCATTCTCAACTGTTGTCAAGGTCACGAATTCCACCGGCAAATACCTCATGATAGTGGATCAGATATTGGCAAATACCTCAACAGCAAGAGTATCCCATATCATCAGGGTTGATCGTACTCTAGATTTGATGGACTTGTTTTGACCCTCAAATTCTTGAGTCAACTCACTAAGGCGTCATGAACTACACGTGCCGATTCACCACTCTTGAATCAAATCCTTAAAGATCAAGCCACCAACGGTCCTTGAAGATATCACAAGCCCGATTCAAGATCAAGTGTTCACCACCTTGAATCAAATCCAGTTCAAGAATAAGCCTGTGGAAAGTTACTTCTTCAAAAGCAAAAGTATTTCATATCATCTCTTCTCCATTTGCTTCTCCTTATCCTTGGTGCTATTTACGACACAAGGAGAAGGAGAACAATCAACAGGAAGCCGAAGTCGAACCTCCGATCCAGGTTGCTTGCTTGGAAGTCTGATTGCTTACCTTGTCTGTTACCTCCTTCGACAAATCTCCTAGCTCGGCGACTTGGGAGACTCCTACTATATGTGTTGAGAAACAGTCAAACTTATTTGTATATGTGTTGAGAAACAGTCAAACTTCGTATAAATTAAATTCTTCCATTTTACTGTGGCACGTCATTTAGTAGTAACTTGTTAAAGTAGTAACTTGTTCATTAGTGCATGCAAATTGAGGTTTTTAATTTCCAAAATATATTATAACTTGTTCAAAGTAGTAACTTGTTAAAGTAGTATACAGTACTTAATTATAGAGTTAAAGTAGTAACTTATTAACATTACGACAAACCATATGTATGTTGGAAAAGTTAAGTAGTTAGCCTTTTGGTTTATTATAATTTAAGGGTAATATAGTCAGATAATCTATGAAGAGCCACTTTGTATTTGCTGCAATTTGGAATTCGCAGGGTGATGTACATTACATTATGCAATGAAGAGCCACTTTGGATGAGTTCATGTCGTCCGCTTTAGTATAAAGGACCGTGGAAGAGGAATTGTTTCGGTCACATTGAATAATAATTATGCATAATTAAAGTTTCGGTCACATTGAATAATAATTATGCATAATTAAAGAAAAGGAATTGTTTAGAGTTTTTCTAGTTATATGAGCTCTAGTAGAGTAGGATGAGACCTGGTTTGGATATGGAATATTTTTGTGGAAAGTCATTAACTGCGTATAACAAAATGAGAATGGCATCTTTTTGTGGAAAGTCATTAACTAAGAAATGATTTGGTCAGTCAATAAAGTATAGAGCTTTCGAAACCAAACTTTCAAATTTAGATACCTTCATCCAAAAAATGAAATTTTTCCATGAAGAAAGAGAAAGAGGGTCCATGTTGTCATATGGAGGGCCAACATGCAAGAGTAAACCCACTCGGTCTCTCTCTTCCCTCTCGCCCATCTGCAAACAAATTTCCCTTTCCCCTTTTTTTCCTCCTAACAAATTTCTCAAAAATTTGGGCAGTTTTCTCCACATATTTTCACTAACTTTCTCAATTCGGTAAATCCGGTTTCTGGGAAGAATTGCTGGCATTTTTGGGCAGTTTTCGTCTCAGGTAATGATCTCTGTGAACCTTAAAAGCATATTTCATATTTCCAGAACTGGGTTTTTTGGGCAGTTTCCATTTCATATTTCCAGAACTGGGTTTAGCTATTTAATGATCTCTGTGACCCTTAAAAGCATGAATCCTTACTCTGTCCTCCCTATTACAAAATATCACTACATGGGTTTTGTTCAATCCCAGTTTTCCACATATGGGATTTCAATCCTTTGATCCGTATTGGAAGCTCATGCACTTTGAGCTTTAATACTTGATTCATGCACTTGTTTAGAATATGGGCATTAATATATAGTATTGATATTATTGCTATTATTGCTTTTTGAATAATGTTGATATAGTATTGATATTATTGCTATTATTGCTTTTTGAATATGGGCATTAATATATGATTCATGCACTTGTTTTTTGAATAATCTTGTATTGATATTATTGCTCTAATTACTTATATTACTTTGGTTGCTAATTTATTAGTTTCAAATGCAAGAAGGGATTAGTTTCTAATGTTATATTTTTATGGTTCATAAAGTGTATAGATGTCGCATTTGATCACTCGTCGTCGGAGCGTGTCCAATACGGCCCCTGCATTATCAGCATCTACTGCTCCAGGAGTGAGTGCTCCATTGATTGGGGAGCCTACACCCCTCAGTGCACGGCGGCCTCACCGGCGCCGCCGCGAGCCGGAGCCTTATGATCACTTCTCCACCATTCCGGTTCGAAGCCTTTTTCGTATAGGCTTGAGGCACGACGTCAGGTAAAAGTATATTAATTTTTAAATTTTATACAATTTATTTTTTATTATTGATTAATAAAATTTTCTTTATGTTTTTTTCTTCAGGAGGGTTCTAAGTTCCCACAAATTGACTTGTTCAAGGACGTTTACGTTCGACCCAGCAAAGAGATCCCTGAGCAGCTTCTTGTAAGTATATGTAATTGTTATTATTCTTATTTTTATGAATTGTTCAAATATTATTTATATTTTGTTATTAAACATTATATGTTTTTTCTTTATTATTACAAGGCGATATGGTGGAAAAGAGCACTGCTATTCTCCAAGAAGCAACATCGCAGCTTCCACCAGAGACCCCGATCGAGGACGTCATTGTACCTGAGGATGCAGATCTTAAGATCGTGACTGAGGTCCTGGATCAGAAGTTGGGTCGTCGTCATGGCAAGGTTGTTCGGTGTATGGGGAAGGCGGGGGTTCGTGAGACGGGTGCATCTTCTTCCAGATCGTCCACAATAGAGGTCAATTCCCTGAAGGAGGAAGTGACAACCCTAAGAGGTCAGCTTGTGGCCCAGAACGAGAGGATGAATATGATTGTTCAGGCCTTAGCGATGTCTGGCCTCCAAATCCCGATGCCAGAAACTAATCTTGCTCCACCTTCGACTTCTTAGCCACTTCGCCCAGTCGATACCTAGTAGCATGATGTATTAAACCTAAAGACCTGTAGTTTTTCTTTTTTGTTCAGACATCTTGTATGTACATTTTCATATATTGTATAATTAAATACTTTTTCTTGGTTTATTAATTATTGTTTAGAATTTAATTACAATATTTATTAAAAATTAAATAAAAAATTTCTTTGCCCCAAATAAAAAAAAAAAGAAAAAATTGCACGACGTAGAGCGTCGTAAACCTTCGTCGCCCGAAGTGGTTTTGCGCGACGCAGACCTATGTCGCGCTAAGTGGTTTTGCGCGACGAAGGTTTACGTCGCGCGAAGTGGTTTTGTGCGATATAGACCTACGTCGTTCTAAGTGGTTTTGCGCGACGAAGGTTTACGTCGCGCTAAGTGGTTTTGCGCGACGAAGACCTACGTCGCGCGAAGTGGTTTTGCGCGACGTAGGTCACTTCTGCGTCGCGCAAACCCTTCCTTCACTGCCTTGACGCGACGGTCGGTGCGCGACGCGGGTTCGTTGTCCTACGTTTTGCGCGACATAGACCTACGTCGTGCTAAGTGGTTTTGCGCGACGAAGGTTTACGTCGCGCTAAGTGGTTTTACGCGACGAAGACCTACGTCGCGCGAAGTGGTTTTGAGCGACGTAGGTCACTTCTGCGTCGCGCAAACCCTTCCTTCACTGCCTTGACGCGACGGTCGGTGCGCGACGCGGGTTCGTTGTCCTACGTTTTGCGCGACGTTTTTTTGACTTTGCGCGACGAAGGTCCTACGTCGCCCAAAGCCTTTTTTGTACTAGTGACTACATCTAGCAAAGATGAACATGTACCACAAAGCGCATAGTTGCCGAAGGCTAGCATGAGCAAAAATAGAGATTTGCAACACAAAGTGAATGAGAAGAGGAAAGCAAACCGTATAGGAACTGGAGCAACAATGCTTTGTCACAAGACTATCGCGATGCAAAAGCAGTTCTTTCATTTTGTTCCTCATCAAAGACTGAAGCTGCCTTGCCTCCATTGGGATTTATAAAAACATTTCATGAACGTCTTCTTAAGTAGTTTTCACGTAGCGTTTTTTTAGGATTACTTCAATCGAGCTTGATTTGCTTTATTTTATGGCATGTATATTGATTTGCCCTGTGAACTTGTATAAAGCTATTAATTTTTCACATGAATTTTTTTTTAATTAGTCAATTTCTCTTTTGAACTTTAGTTTTAGCCGATTACTCTTTGGACTTTTATAAATAGCCAATTCTCCCTATGACGCTAGATTTTAAAAAATTTCACCCAATTTTCCATCAATTTTACCCAATTTTCCATCAATTTTGATCACTTAGACAACACATGACAACTGTATGGGACAAAAAGAATGAAAAAGTGGAAGGATGAAAATTTTAAAATCTCACGCTAGGGAAATTGGCTATTTATAAAATTTTAGGGATAATTGGTTAAAATTAAAGTTAAGGGGAAATTCACCAATTATAAATGTTTAGGAGGATAATCGGCAATTAAAGTTTGTGGAAGAAATTAACAGCTTTATACAAGTTCAAGGGGCAAACCGATAAATACCTCGTATTTTATTTATGTTGCCAGAGAGTGATTTTGCTTTTGCCTCTTAATTTTTAGTGCAGTGAATTTCAGTTATTATTGGGAAATCTCATTTTAGCATTTAACTTACTTAGCACCCATAGCATATGTGATTTCCTTTATTCCGCTTGGTGCTGTGTTGGTATATGCGATGGCTATGTGAATTTTTTTAGTTAATTATATTTTTTATGCTGAAAGATGAGGATGAACTTAACCTTACAATAATTTAACAATAATGTGATTTAAATTACTTTTATCGACAATCGAATTAAAAACATCTCACATATAAATAAGAAGAAATACAACTAGATGATCATTGCAAGACAACAACGACATGATGATCGTTTTCTAGGCCTTCGCTCAATTAATAATTGGATGAAACAACCCAAAATTTAGCAAGCCTATAAATAGTTCTAGAAGTCATTCCCTGGGCCAAAACCTCAGCTGCTTCTCCGACTCACCACCACGTTACCTGCGTGTTTCTGTACGTCCTTTCTCTCTCCTCACTGTCTCTCTCTCTCTCTCTCGAGAAGCACAAAGCTACCAGACTCAAGATCGAAGCCATATCGAAATCGCTGGTGACCAATCCCTACCTATCGTCTTTCTGATGCATAAAATTCATTTGCTTTTCTATTTTGGTTGTTTATTTATCGAACGATTATATGCCAAACCTTCATAGTTTAGACGTTATAAGAATTTTTATTCAAAATTTGTTTGGAATTTTGACTAAGAAACCGATCATCGTGTATTCTTATTGTGTACTTCACATTGTGCAGCAGGGAAAGCCCCTTCAATTTTGAATCCTTGATCTGGTTATTTCCTCTCTCTCTGGAACTTGAAAGGCACAATGCTGAGAGGAAATCAAGGAAACCCTAATCAGAATCCTAGGACACAAAATACAAACAGAGCAGTGATGGGCATCAAATTTCAATATCTTCCCAAGGGTTTGGTGGTGGACATTCTCTCAAGGATAGTCTGCGTCAAGACCGTCTTGAACTGCAAGTGCGTTTGCAAAGAGTGGCTTTCTATAATTTCTGACCCTCAATTTGCTCGTCTCCATCTTCCGAGATCACCCATTGGGATCTTGATGAAGGAATGGCACCTTGATAATGATTGGATAGCGGGAAAACTTGATTTTGCCCAGATAGTAGAAGGTGCTGGTTCTGATTTGGGGGTCGAGAAAACGACTTTAACTCCTAATAATAGCCTGCCCAATTTTCGGTTCGAGTTGATAAACTCATGTAACGGTTTACTTTGTTTGTATGGGCCGGAGACTGATTGCCTGTATGTGTGCAACCCTGTGTTGGGTGAGTGCATCACAATTCCACATAATAGTAATGGCAGGCATCGGTGCGGGTTTATTGCACTTGGTTACAGCATTGGGACCAATGATTACAAGGTGTTGCAAACAACCTTATCTAACAACGAATTCTATGGTGAGCGTGAGGCTGAGATATACACCCTTGGCACTGGAGTTTGGAGAAGCATTGGAAGTGTTCCTCAAACTATACTTAAGAGATATAGAGACGCAGCAATTGAGTTACCATTTGAAGGTTTTCTGCACGGAGCTCAACATTGGGCTCCGTATGACTTGTCAGAGTTTTCTATATATTCTTTCAATTTTGAAAGAGAACAATTTCGATTGCTACCCCCACCTACACTCTCACCTGGGCTGTTGGAAGAAATGCAGAAGTGGTATTCAAAGTATTTACACTTGGGACAGTTAGAAGGTTGTCTCCTTCTATGTGTGCAGGATAAACCGTCTACCAACTTAGAGTTGTGGGTTATGAAGGAATATGGGGTCCAGCAGTCTTGGACTAAAATTCTTGTCATTGATAACTTGACCCCAAAATCTTTCGGGTACATGCCAATTATGTTTTTGAGTAATCGAGAAATCCTAATAGCATACGTGGAAGAACAAAACAACGGCAGTGGCAGCCGGCTTGTTGGTTGTTTCAATCAAGAAGCAAAAACTTTCAGCCGAACTACAGTTACTGATCACACCCAGGAATTTTTTCATGCAATTGCTTACAGTCCATCCTTTGTTTCACTCTACGATGTTGCAAAAGGAGAAGAAGTGGAAAGGTAAATAAATTACACTTAAAGATACACTTCTCTTCTATTGTTTTTATATTCCCTATTTTATTTATGGAAGCTGATGTTTTTGTAGGTAAATGCGATTAATATATTGCATTTGTCAAACTTATATCTTATGTTTAACTGCCAATCTCCACAGATACTGCAACTGAAAGTTTGTTCGATTATGTTTTGTTACTTATGCTATGAATTTGTTTTGCATAAAAATTAAGTGGTAACAGATTTTCTTTGTTTAAATGTGAGTTCAACTTATCAGTATTGCATGTCACTGCGTTTGTCTGTTCGCTGAACTGTAGAACTTTACAGAGCCGTTGCATTTCGTTAATTGAATTGCCCATCGTTTCTATAGTAATACACAAAACACTTGTTGAAGTTTAACTGATTGAAGAATTAAAGGATAGATGTTGCCCATAAGTTCCTTCATATGAACTTACTCAACACCTAATAAGTTCAATGTTTATGATTTAGTAACGTGGAAAGTTGCAAGTCACTTGATGTGATACTTTCGCTATTGCAGTGCTGCCATCTCGATACATTTAGAGTTAACTAGCTTGTCATTAAATATGAATTTGTAAAATACATGGATGTTTTGGGAGGACGCTGATTCAGCTGAGATGTTATTGGTAATTTATTTTCCAGTTCATTGTGGCATATGCTTTACCCTTATATATGATTTACAGGATAAGAGATAGCAACAAGCCGATTGGTAAACCGAGTTATGATCGTTCCGGTTTTGGGATGCCAACCCACGTGTACTCTTTTGACTTAAGACGGCGTGCTTTTGATGGTTGGTTCTTCCAAAATTCATATGTGAGTTGTCATAGTTCACGTGTCTATTTGTTTTCTTGAACCCTTCTAATTGTTTTGCTGCTGTCTCCTTACTGCTTAACAATATATTTTCCTTTCAGATGAATCACTTTTGTTATGCGTGAATGCGTAAACGCGTCAACAATGCTTTGAGCGGGAAGGGTTATGTTTTTGGAGAGGAGATTCCCAATGTGTCAACAACGCTTTGTAGCCAGACTCTCGTGATGCTAAAGCAGTTCTTCCTTTTTGTTCTTCGTCAAAGACTGCGGCCGCCCTGCCTCCGTTTACATTTATTTCTTGTTTCTTATATTTCTTTTCTTTAGGCATTTTTCGGTGCAAACACAAAATCCAAGAGGGAGTTGTTTTAATTTGTACTAGCCTATATGCATGCCCTCATATGCATGCTAAGGACCTTTTTTTAATGACTGGATGTTACGCACAAGTTACAAATTTTTACTGCATTAATAACTCGATCACTCTGTATGAAACCAAGCCCATATACCTAATATTTTAGGTCAGTCAAATTTTATATCTTCTCATGAGATCAAATAAACTAGCTAAACACACTAGTTTAGCTAGCTGGTCACTGTCCAAATTCCGCCACCACGGGTAGTGGTGGTGACACGGGGAGCGCTGAGTTCGGCCGGCGAGGTTCAAATTCCGAAGGCCTCATGTTTGGACTGGTTTTGGTAGCATTGCTCGACTTGCTACTTTCACAAAACTTATTACATAAGGTTTCGTCGCTCAACTTTTTGCTCAAAGAAATTCGTTGGGTAATTTTATTTGGACAAACGCCGTCACTCAAATATTCGCCCGATGAAATTCTAGAATTCGTCATGCAAATACGGTTTGCCCAACAAAAGTATTTTGCAAATATGGTTTGCCCAACAAAAGTATTTCGTTGAGTAAAGTGTATTGACCAACTTGGCTTGACGAAACAAACTTTTATGATGCCATTATTTCATCGGGTTTTTGGAAATAAATTATTTAAAAATATTTTGCTCGACGAAATTGTCTTTGGGAAATTAATTTAAAGAAATAAAATAAAATAATACAAAATACCTACTTTCGTCGGCCACAAGTTTTTATTCTTTTTAAATTCGTAATTTATTACATTTAATTTAAATAAATAAAATAAAATATATTAATTTCAAAAGAAATTGCAATATTTAAAAAAATGTATTTAATTATTAAAACTAAAATATTTGTACAAATGAATGCAAATAATCCTAAACTAACTAGGGTTGTTGGTGGGAAGACGGTTGAAGGTGGCTCGGAGGATCAGGAAGGCGAGTGCCAAAGGCTGCCATTGCATGGGCCTTGCCAGCAATGTAGCACCGAAAATCCTTCTCTCGTTGGTACGATGCTTCTTCCCGAGATTCTTTTTCTCGTTGGTAAGGCTAATAACTCCATCTCCAAATGTTGCAGTCTGGAAGACGTCCCACTTGGAGTCTGGGAGTTAGATGTAGAAGATGCCCCGAGGTCCCAAACCCGACCCGCTCCTAAGCACGTATCTCTTTGCCTTTCCGTCCAACCCATCCATCAACAAATGTAGAAATACCTCTGAATTAGGTGTCGACTCCTCCCATTGATGTGTTCGGTTGCTGCTGAGAGAGGTTAGCAAGGACTGAACTTCATTCGTGAAAAATCCAAACTGATAACTTACCATTTTCTTTATGTGGTAATCTGTACTCTATAATTTTATAAACTAAAAGAACCCTATTTAAAGACGATAAATCCCAATGAATATAATTTGGATATTTTTCCTACCTAATTAATGACAAATTAATTTTAGCTATTTTTATGAGCTTCAGTAAAATCTTCCAAATATGCAAACTATCACCTAACACATGGTGGGCACTACATACTCCTACCTAATTGATGAAAGCTCATACACCTTTGGCTAAGAGTAATGTTAGAGAGACCAAATTTCTAAACCAAATAATGTGGATGTTGATGATTGAATTATTACTTAAGTGTTGATTAATGTGCTTATTTTTTATTGATAACACATAATTTGATTTACAAATTTGGGTTAATAATTTAGCCTCCATCGCATTATCATTTAGCTAATATATGAAATTAGAAACCTAACTATAAATAGCATTAATAATGCAACACCCTTTGTACAAAGCGAGTCCATATTTATAACTTTGTAGATCAATAATCAAACTTAATTATTTGTTCTCATCCGATCGAATAAGCTAGCTAGAGGAGTGTGACAGAGCAATGTTCCCTGCAACATTTTACCCCGCCACCACGGAGAGCGGTCGCTTCAGACAGGCGATGGCGTGCCTCAGTGCTGCCCTAGTCGCGGCACTTGTTGGGTTAGTGCTGCTGATTTTAACCTGTGCCTGTCAGAAATTTGTGTCCATCTCAAGCAGCAGTAGTGATGCAAGAGAAAGAGCAGGAGCAGACTCTGCAGAGCCAAGTGTTGTTGTCGTAATGCCTGGAGAGGAAACACCAACATGCTTGGCAAAACCCCTCTCTAATTCCTCTCACTAATCTCAAAAATGATGTGAAATTGCTTGCAGGATTTTCTTTTCCCTTTACTTTTTTTGCTGTTTTTGGCATATTGTTTTGATGGGTGGTTTTCTCATGATGATGTTAGTAATACTTCGTCGAGTTGCAATTCGTAATGAATGAAAAAATATATTGATAATTTACCCTAAATACTCTTGCTTCCTTCCTGTTATTCAAATCCATTTTTTGTGTTCATTTTCTTTTGCATGATATAGACATTAAACCCAGATATATGATTAGTATTGATGATCTCGCATACAATAGTACAATGTATGAAAGAAATCTTTGTTGTCGACTCCCTCGCAAATTCTTTGTTCGATGCAAACTCGTGTCCAAGTGTAAGTTTATGGTATTTGAACAATGTGTATCTAGCGGCATGAATCGAACATTGGACCTCATTTCATGAAAATGAATTAATCATTGAACTTTCAACCTAGTTAGAATTGGTTATTGAAATAAAAATCCATTAATTATGGTCCTTAAATTTTACAAAATATAGAGCAATGGTCCCTTCCATTAATTTTTGTCAAATTTTCTGTCAACTTGCTTACATAACACGCATATAGCTAGATTCTACATAAACAAATTCTAAAATTTGCTCTTTAGAGTAAACTGTAGGCCGATGAACTTTCACCATAGTGTAGATTAGATTTCTGAACTTTCTCGTTCAAAAATAAATAAAAAAAAAAAAAAAAAGATTCCTGAACTTTCACTCTTGTTTATATTCATGTCCCTAAACTTTCACCATAGGTAGATTTAGTCTCCGACCCTTGGTTGGTTGGCTCTCTTGAATTCGGTACCATAGAAAGAGGCTACCGTGGGGTGGGGTGGGTTGGGTGTTGTTGAGAACTAGGGCCTCATTGGTAAGTGCAACAAGATCTTGTACTGCTTAATTAGTCAATTTTGTTCCACTTAATCCCTGTTTCATGGTCACATATCTTTCCGGCTAAGAAATGGGAAACCTTTCTCTTGTTATCCCGGACATATTCTTCTCGTTTCATCAACTAATCTTAGTCTTGAAAAAACAGAAAATGACTATTTATACCAAAACGAACGGTTATCTTGATTCACGGGTCCCAGAAGTGCATGATAAATAATGCCAAAGCCCAATACTGTATAGAAAATTAAGTAAAGTACTCCAGACACAACATATGGAAAGGTATCAAGAACTTCCCCTCTGCCCGGTACCAAAGCCACTCGAACTCAATTTTTTTTAACTTGGCTAGGCTTGACCATATCAAGTTTATGGTTCAAAAATTGAAGAATCTACACGGTTAAGTTCCATTTTCGATTCAAGTTTGATCGGTTTAAGTGCACTAGATTTTTCATTTTATTACTTGGCATAGTCACGTTTGGACTAGGGATCGATGGACAATATTATGGAGGGCGGGTAACCGTTTAAGCTCTTAGTTACATAATTGTTTACACGTTGGGTAATTGCATAAACAGGTATAGCCATACCTATAACCGTTTGTAAACAATTACCCTATCCATAAACGGTTAACGCTACTTATAACCGTGTACCCATATAACTGTAGCCGTATACCCGTTTATCCTTTTTTTAGGGTAATACTAAGGAAACTAAATTTATAAACAAAATTTTAAAAACTAAAGGACATAGAAGTTGATAATTGGTTTATTACTTAAACGTTAATAAACATGTTCATTCATATTGGTAACACATCTTTTAGTTTACAAATTTTGTCTACAAATTTAATCTTCCTAGCATTACCTTTTTTTTAACATGTTGAAAATTAAATAAAATTGTCATATTATTCTTTTTCTGATAATTGAACGTTGTTATATATACATTTAACAAGCATTTCTCTATTCCATGTTTTAAATCCTCATACTATTTTGAATATTAAAATAATAGTCTACGATCCATATTTTTAACTATTATCAATGAAAGCAAATAAAAAGGAGGACTAATATACAAATAAATTGGAGCCCTTTGAAGCAAAGAATTATTAAAGTCCTAACAGCTAAAATTTTCCATTTCACCCAAGACATATAAATCGTACCAAAGTGGAATGTTGTCACCTTCATGGAAGAAAATGCCAATAATATCGGCGAAATATCACCGATATTATCGGTTTTTCACGCAATGGATATTTAAATAGGTATCCAAATGGTTTTCGTAATATCGATAATATCGCGATATTTTGGAAATATTGCGATATTTTTTGAACTGCTACTCGGAGAAGAACGCCGGAGCTTCTACAGCTCTGGCCGACTGTAAAACAGGACCCTAGACTCCAATCTAGGTATCAAAATGAAATAGAAGACGAGATGAACGTTTTTATATATTCCGTTTACCGTGAAACGGTCGGAGGTGTTCGGAAAGTTCGTCGACCACCCACGGCCTCGCCAGAGATGGTGTGCCTATTCCCGAGCCGATTTCGTCCCAAAAACCTTGCAAAAACACGATTTTGAACTTAAATTTCACATATAAGGTTCAAATTTCACACATGCAAGAAAGGTTATGAGCCGAAGCTTACCTTACCTAACTGGAGAAATTCAAGAAACTTGCCGGAGTTCCTGCGTTTGCAGAGTGCCAGAGACGAGAAGGAGAGGGAGAAAGATGAGGTTGTCGATGATGATGGGTGTGCGTGTGTGTATGTGGGTCTCGGACCCTCGGTGCAGAGAGAAAGGAGAAAGACGGCGCCGACGAGGGAGGACTGAGGAGCAGAAGGTGATGTGGGTCTGTGTGTGTGTGTGGGAGAAGGATCGAGAGACCTTGGGTCTGTGTATGTGTGTGTGGGAGAAGGATCGAGAGAGTGGGAGATCTGTGTGTGTGGGAGAATGGAGAAGGGAGAGAAGAGAGCTCAGAGAAGAAGAGAGAATGATCGATATTCGAGAGAGAGACGTATGCGTGTGAGGTATGTGTGCGTGTGTGATGGCATGTCTGTGTGTGTGTGTGTGGTTGGGTCATCTCATCT